ACAGTAAACCCGCTCACACCCCTGGTCCTCTTTCAGACTGCTGTACATGTAGTAACAGCAGCACCACAGCATTAGGCTTGACCAGCTTACATCCAACTCCTGCAGCATGTGCAGCCGCCACATGCAGATGCAGATCCTGTCACATGTGACTGTACAGTCCATCAACCCAGCTGCAATGCTGCTGCTCCCAGCACCCACGGCAGCAGACACCATGCAACTGCTGTTGGGTAACTTGGTTGGTGACAACTGCAGGCCCAATGCTGCAGCTGTGCACGCTACAGCAGTTCAACGATTGAAACCAAATACCAAATACCAAAGTAGGGCCACAGGCCCACCCACTAAGGAGCCAAACAAGGCTCATGGGGTCCCACAACAGCCAAGGAGTAACAATCCAACCAACTAATCTGAGGCCTCAACAAGTTCTGAGGATTCTGTCTCCGAAACACTAGTGTCACATGGGAGCACAGCAAGCGCCATAGCCGGATCATTTCTAACAAGGAGACAATAGTTGATAAAAGCAGCAACACTACTCTACACTACACTGCCTCTGCTGCATAAAGTCAGCCAAACACCGTCCAAGAGGGCTCACAGCTGGGCTCTGCCACCCTCCAAAATCAACAAACAGCCGCCAGAAGCGATCGCAAAAAACCTGATATGCGTCACACTCAAACACAAAGTGAAACTCATCCTCAACTTGGCCAGCACCGCACCGAGAGCACAGTCGCTGTGGCCCGGGCAGCAGAGAGTTATCAGCCCTCTCCCACCGACCAGTAGCCACACGCAAGTAATGCGCACCCAGACAAAAACGCATCAAAGATGACAGGTGCATCTTGTTTAAGCCAGCTGTGTTGTGCACATAATCTGGGCACCAACTCAATGGTTTCGTCAAATCAAGCTCATCAAAAGGGGAGCATGCAAACCAGTTCTCATAGGTAGAGTGCATGACAGTATCAGACCCAGCTGCTCTGGGGTTGGCTGGCAAGTCCTGCCACTGCTGGTACAACCATGCTTGGAAAGCACTCTGTACTTTGCTCAAATCAGAGGCATCAAGGCAATGCAAGCTTTGACTGTGACTGCCAGTATGTCGGACAGCATGCTGCACTGCAGTGTGACACACACTTCACCACTGTTATTCTGCAGACTTAACATGTTTGACTGCTACTACGGGATGCTGGCAACGCCTCAAAGCGCTCTCCGAATCACATATGGACGCGCCAGGCCCTCTTCATGCAACACTCCACAACACAGGGCCACCGTAGATGTCGACAGCCTGTCTGAGACACATCATGGGCTGGCTGCATACCGTCAGCAGCAGCACCAAGTTGCAAAATGCTAGCAGCAAAACACGTCTGCCTTGGCATGTGCGTAGTCATATTCTGCTTGCAAGACTTTATGCCTCAGCACCCTAACTCATGCTGACAGCAACAGCCATGTAGCCACGCTGTACCTTGAAGACCCTCCCACTGGTGCATCTGAGGGTACAAGGCCCCCGACACATCATCCACGTAACACTGCAAGTGGCACAGCTTGTATTTATCTGAGTGCACAGGCCAGTACCCACAGTCACCGACAGAGCAACCCACAGCCAGAGTGCACACTGTAGTAATGAGCTGCTGCACTTTCTTTGGGTGTCGCTATGCTGTGGAACTATTTGATCAAGCGCCAGCTGGCAGGCGTGGCGGCGCTTTTGGTGGCAGCTGCACAAACCTGATGTGCAGCTCTCTTAGCCATGCATCACCAGCAATAGCCCCCTGCCCACCAGCACCAGCTGCTGCTGCTTCTCCTGCCGTTACTGCCTTGGCACTGCCTTGTCCATCAGATGTGCGGCTGCACACTGCTGTGCGCTGTTTGGACAAGGCTCTGCCAGCAGTGACAGCTCTGCCAGCTCTGCTTCTCAGCACACGGCCAGACGCTGCACTGCCAGTGCATTTCCCTGTCTCAGGCACACAAGCGAATTGTGCAGGCTGCAATGGTGAAGACGGCTGCTTGTTTGAGCTGAAGCCAGTTCCACCAGCTGGAGGGCAGCTGCAGTCTGCTGCTGCTGCTGCTGCTGCTGCTGTCTTGCAGGGCAGCTCCAGCATGGCTACAGTCCTGGGCAGCTTGAACCGTGCAGGACCTGCGCCGTGCAACAACACCATACGAGCGGATGGAAAATCAATGGAGGCATCATTGACTTCAAGCCTTCCCGCAGAGCTTTGCATGTGTGGCAGTGTGCTGGCGTGCGCATCAAGCCCTTTGATGCAGCGCAACACATCATGGTCAGGAGTGCAGCATACAGTCCCCCAACTGTGCCACTGGCAGCTCACACCGGGTAGGCACCTTTCTACCGTGCAGAACTCCCAATTTGAAGCACCCGCGCATCAATAGTGACTGCAGATGTTGCAGCTTGTAGCACGGGTCTAGTAACCGCCCACCTGCAGAGCCTGGATTGACGTAGCACACATCGCCCGCCTGCCAGCAGCACGCCTTGTGGCTGTGCCCACACACCACAATGTCTGGCCGCAGCTGCTGGATCAGCGCTGCTGCTGCGGTGTCCACTGCAGCGTACAGGTTGTCGAAGGGCAGGTCTGAGCAGGTGAATAGCAATGGAAGCGACACAGGGTGGCAATTGGTGCACACTGCGCATGCGCAAACCGATCATCATCATATTACCCATTCAAGCCATAGCATCAATGCCATCGGCGCCGCGCCCACCGGGACGGGCGCGCAAAGCGATGTTGTGTTGCGCAGTACTTGCACACATGGACACATCAGCACAACAAAGTTAGCCTCCTCCTTACGGGAGCTCCATGTCCTTGGCGTCTGGAGCTTTAGTGGATGCACCTCACACATACCCTGCCTGCACTGCATGGCTACAGACCAGATAACATGTCACACCGGCAAGCTCACCTCTTGCTGTTGGGCCTGGCGCCACAATGTGGCACACCAGCAGCCTCCAGCCAGCCACCTGCATCAGCCTGTGCTGCGGCAGCAGCTGCGCGTCTGCAGCATCGAGCTTGTCATCAACATTGCCTGCTACAGCCAGCAGCGGAGTGCCGGTGGCTTCCGCATAGAGCTGAAGCACCTCTGCAGGCGGCAGGATGTGACACCACGCACATGCAGGACAACGGTCATGATCAGGCACACCCTGCATGGCAATGGCAGCTCTGCCACATGCTTGAGGTGCGCAGCTGCGTGACCCAGGATCCCCTTAGTTCCCTTGTACATGCACACCTGATCAAGTGCACACCTCATCAAGTGCTAGCCTGCATTAAAAAGGTGCATTAGGGTCGTTTAAGGGTCGTTTACCGCCGACTTTTATATTGCCTGTCTCCTGGGCAGCCGCGGTGTAACTGTCAACAGTGTGATGCAGGCATGTTGCATCGGTACAGCAGCCCGGGCTGTAGGGCCCCATACCTCTGTGCCTCCCATGGTGCCCAACATCACCAGCATGAATCAGTAGATCAGAATGCCTCAGGGCTTCTGCAGCTGCCTGCAACACCACATAACAAACGCTTGCATGCGGGTGGTTGGCGGGCGTGAGCACTTTGTTGCCTTGCAATGCCACCTCACGACACCATCAGGATGATCAGGACCACAGTGTACAGCAGCCAGCGTGCAACACAGCGTGTGGAGACCTGCACCTGGCACACCAACACCTGCAAGGATATCTCTACGCAAATGACGACTGTGTGCTGCTGATCACTGGTCCCAACTTGGCTGAACCGGCACCGAGCCAGCTTGCACACTCTTACCTTGTCGAATACGCCATGTGTATCGCTGATTAATCCTACGACGTAATGCATGCGCTCACTGGCAATTTTACGAGGCCACGTGCAATGCCTACACGCATGACGGTCCTGCTCTGGACAACACAAGTGTGGTGTAGCTTCGCGGTTCCGCGTCCTTGTACTGCTGCTCGGCCTTCGTACACAGCCTGATCCGAGTGGCTGGGGCTTGTTCCATCACAGTGTGTTCAATTGCTGCGAGCCCGGGTTTTAAAAGCACGCAAGTGCTCTTCCTTGGGCATTGGTCACGACTGTTTTGCACGCGTGATTGCAACTTAGGACGGCCTGCACTAATGTTGTTTTCAGCTCTTTTAAAACGTCCGGACAGGTCTGGAGCAGCTAAGCAGCTGCGCGGATTGTGTTTCGGCTTGGCCAAGACAAGGTCACCTAGTACTACGTGCAGCGTACACCTACAAGCAGGCCAGGTGCGCTGAGTCAACGTAGCAGTCGATACGCTCAAGCAAAGCAGCTTTGCAGCATGCATTGTAGGCTTAGTGGCAGGAACGCCTGCTGGTAATGGTGCTGCTGCTGCTGCTGCCAACATTGATGCTCATGTTGGCCACCACCCCTTAAGTATCATGCCAGGTCACATCAATGGTCAAACACATGTCAACACGTTGCACTTCACGCATGGCTGCCAACTGTTTGACGCAGGCTTTAGGAATCAACATTTGTGCCACCTCAGCAGGCAGCCAACAGTCAGCGGTGGCAGCAGCTTCCTTCTGTTCAGGGCTGTGCTTGGCCCGCGCCTTAAACATGGGCAACACCAGCAGTGTGCCAGAGCGCGTCTACAAAGCAGCAAGGGCCAACGATGTCAACGAGCTGCAGGTGCGAGGTGCAGCAGTTGCGCCAGCAGGGCCATGAACAACAGCACCAAAACAGGCCCCACGAGCTGTGTACAAGGCTGTGCGCTTGAGCTGCATCTGCAGCCACTTGCACTGTTGGAATAAACCTCTGGTGTCGAGCTGTTTGCACTCGTGCATAGCCTTGCTGCACTGTTGGTGCGCCAGCATGCACACACAGCAACTGCTGTGCTGCTACCTCTAATAAACAATACATACAGTAGTACAGGAATGAACCTGCCTCAGGCACTAGCCCAGCGAGCCGTTGTTCCGCTCATGAGGTTTTTTGTAATTGTACCCAGTTGCTTCTTCATGTTTGGTTCATGGTTTGGGCGATGAAACCACCCGCACAGATCCGTCAATTCCAGTTGCTTTTTAGCCCAGCCACGGGCGATTGGACGGGGATTTGAACCTGGGTCTCCAGCATACCATGCTGGTGTTCTACACTAAACAATCCAACCATAATAACGCTTGCTGCAGGGCCTGTGCCGCGACATGCGGCTCAACGGGGCGCTGGATGCGGCGACAAAGCGCAAGTGGCTCAACTGGACGGACGCAGAGGGGCGCACAGCACTGCACCATGCCTGCCAGCGCAACTACCTGCAAGTGGCACAGATTGTGAGCAGCTGCTGCAGTTGGTGGGGCGGGCGGTGCTTGCAGGACAGGCATGTGCAGCGCTTTCTTGGCCAACCAGGCGTGTACGGGTACCAGCAGTAGCAGGCTGCTGGCGCCTGCAAGTGACGGAGCATGCCTTGTTCTGCCTGCAAGCTCAGCACCACTGTGGTGTGTAGCAACTGATTGGCTGCAAGCTCAGCACCACTGTGTGTGCAGCAGCTGGATGGCTGCACAGGGAAGCATGCGGGTTGATGCTCAGCTGCGCAGGCTATGCAACAGTTGCCAAGTTGGTTCGGCAGATTGCCCCAGCTGCAGCAAGGCGCGGAAATCACTTGCACGGACGGCCATCAACAGGTCATGGCAAGACAGGTCGTGCAGACGCGCCCTTGCAATAAGGGAAGACGCCCACACCATACATCCACCCACCCTTGCCACTTCCTGCTGCTTGCGCCCTTGCCCGCTTTGGCCGCTCTCCTGCAAACAACACCAACATGTAACCTCGGCAGCTGCTAGATGAGGGTGCTGATGTGCACCTGGTGGCCCCCAAGCGCGCTGGCGGTGGCTCCCCGCTTGCGGAGGCAGTTGCAGGCAGGCACGAGGCCCTGGTTGAGCTGCTGCTGCAGTACGGGGCGGACCCTTTCACGGAGAGCAGGGGTGGCAAGGCGCCGCTTGACCTGGCCCTGGAGCTCAAGGCGGTGAACATCCTGAGGAGCTTTGAGCGGCATGCGCTGTTTGCAGGCTACGTAAACATGAAGGTGGGTCGGCTGGGGCGCAGCCGCTGCGCTGCCGCACCGCAGACTGCTGCTCTGCTCGAGTGGGGATGGCGTTGATGCTCTTGCTCTTGCAGGACAGCGTTTGGTGGGATCCTCGGCCGCATGCTCAAACGTCCGTTGTGGTGTGGGTGTGGTGCTGCAGGTGCTGCAGCTGAAGGGTTTCAGCCATGCCGCCAAGGACCGCTGGGTGGTGGTTGCGCCACGCTTCTCGCCGCCTTCTGAGGGCAGCGGGGGTGTGGGTATTGTGCGCATCATGATGCTGGTGTACAGGTGAGGGCTGCCGTGCCCAGCACGTGTGCTGAGGAGGAGGATGTATCCGTTGCAAACCTGGACGGTGGCATGCGGGCAGCCCGTTGTACAATCTGCAGTATCTTGTCAGGTTCGTCCCATTTCGTCACACTCAAACGTGTGGTACGCTGTGGCAGGCGTGCTGCACATGGGGGCTTCTCCCTCTGTACTACTGCTTGTGGCTGCATCAGCCTGCTTGTTCAACACCGCCGCTGCTTGCGTTGCTGCTTGCAGGAACGCTGCTGAAGCTGACCCTCGCACCAAGTGCTGGCTGGACGGTGCGAGCATTTTCAGGGCAGGCCAGGAAGCAGTGCTGGTGAGAACCGCACCTGCAGCAGCTGCAGCAATGATATGCCATGGCATTCAACATAAGAGCTTGGCAGGCGCACTCGGCCATGAAGCTCAGCGGCGTCGTCACAACATAGTGTGCATGCTGTGCGGCCTTTGTGTGTACACAAGCACAGCCTGGTTTGTCAGTTAACCTGCCTGCTGTCCTGCTGCCGTGTTCCTGCCGTGCAGCGCTTGCACTCCAACCATGAGCAGCCGCGCAATGCCTTCACAAAGTATGACAATGGATGGATGCTGTTCTTCAAACAGGCAACCACCAGCTACAGCACACCCACAGCAGCGGGCCCAACAGTGGCCCCAACCCAGCCAGCATTGCAGCAGGCGCAGCAGCAACGTATGCGGCGTTCATGGCAGTGTGCTTCAGGCCGCTCGATCACCTGCAAGCACAGCAGCAGGTGCGTGCAGCAGGTGTGGCGCCCGACGCCGGCAGCAACCCATTTGGTAACCCACAGTACAGCAGCAGCACCAGCAGTGGCAACGCAGCAGTGCCGGGGGCGTTCAACCCGTGGTGGCAGCAGCAGCAGCAGCAGCACAGCAGCCAGCCAGCCAGCCCCAGCCTCAGCCCCAGCAGAGGCCAGCGTTACCTCCAGCGGTGGTTCCATTGTCGGGTGGTGTGCCTACCAGCCCTACTGGCTTCCCTGAAAGCCCCATGTCTCCCTTCACGCAGCAGCAGCAGTACCAGCATCATGCAGGCTTGAGCATGCAGCCTGCGGGTGCACCACCGCAGGCAGCACAGCAGCGGCCGCCCTCCCAACTGCAGCAGCAGCAGCCACAGCCATGGCCTCAGAATGCTATGCATGCGCAGCCAGGCGAGACAGACGAGCAGTTTGCGCGGCGGCTGGCCATCATGATGGGCGGCGATGGCAGCGGCAGCTACAGCAGCAGTGGGAGCCCCACCAGCAGCGGCCGCCTGGCGTCGGCGGCAGCAACAATGCCTAGCAGCAGGCTTGGCAGCAGCTCCTCGCAGCAGCTTCCGCCGCCGCCGCCGCAGCAGCAGCATGGCCTGTATCTGTCCTTGTCTGTGCCGACTGCGGGCATGACTGGCGGGCGTGCTGACCTGAATGAACCGCCGCCATCGGCACCACCCGCTGCTGGGCTGCCACTCACTTCAGCAAACCCATTCAGGCCATTGGCTGCTGCAGCGCTCAACACAGGCCCGCAGCAAGGCCCAGCACTCGGAGGCTCAGCAGCAGCGACGGCATTGACAGCGGGCAGTGTCGCAGGAGCGCAGCAGGTGCCAGCAGCGACCAGCAGCAGCAGCACTTCCCTTGCAGCCGCTGGTGCTACAGGAGGCAGTGAGAGTGCAGGTGACCAGGACTTGTGTGTCATCTGCTTGGTGGAGGCTCGGGAGGTTGGGTTCCTGCATGGCGCGTCTGTGCACAAGTGCGTGTGCAGGGGGTGTGCATCGCTGATCCAGCCCAACAGCCCCTGCCCCATGTGCAGGCAGCCCATCGAACGCATCATAGGTGTATACTGAGCGGCACAAACAGGCCTATACCTCGGTTCAGCAGCCCAGAAGCGGAGGCTGTGGCGGACGCAGCAGAGCAAGCTGTAAGAGAAAGTGAAACACAATGTGTGAGGCTGTGTGTGTTTAGGTGCCGGGATCTCGGCTAATGCAGCCCCTGCTGCACAGTGGCTGGCTGTATCCTGCAGGTCAGCATTGTATTCACGTTCCCTTAGCATGGCGCTTGCATGGCGTTGCATGCCGACTGTCTGTCAATCTGCTATTTGGCATATGCTGACGCCACTGTTGTGCCGCCAGTGCTTCGATGCACAATATTTTTTGTGTATGTGTGTTTTGCTCACCTTCGTGTTGATTATTGCTCACCTTGATGCATGTGGCTGCGCGGCTGTACAACTGCATGGAGCCTGCATGTGCGTCAGCTTAGTGAACTAACTCCGCGCTTGCATTTGTGTATTTTACTACTGTAGCGGCACCAGATGCCCTGATCTTGTTGCTCAAAGTAAGTTTTATTTGGACGGAGCATAGCAAGCATTTTGCGGCTGTGCTCAGGGAAGGCTGAGCATCTGGCCATTTCATTGACTCATTCTTATGATGGCAAATGCAGCTGCGGTGCCACTGCAAGTTCCACTGGCTGGTCCCTACCAGTGCATTCATCTATTGTGCAGTGCAAGTAGCAGCACCGTTGGGCCATCACCAGGTGTGCAAGTTGTTGCCACGTCGTTGGCGTTACGCTTTTCCTGCTTTTTATCTGCTACAGATGGGTGATGTTAGGCTACAATGCTTCCGCTTGATTAGCTATTGAGCTTTGCGTGGCAGCTGCTGCACCAACCCAGCGCTGGTGACCCGCAGGTGGTGCACGGCGCAAGCGGTGCATACCTGCGCAGGGCTGTGGCAAGGGCTAGGCGCCGGCAGCATGCTGTTCACAACGTTGTTGAATGGCAAGCAGGGGTACGTACCTGATGGAAGGCCCTAACTTAAGCAAGCTTGCCAGGAAGCGATATGTAACATTGTTTATGATGCAAGGCACTACTGTACACTACCATGACGTATGTGATAACATCACAGCACAAGCTTTTTTTTGGAGCAGTGCTCCCTCCTCTTTAAAGAGGAAATTTCCGCCCCGGCGCGGGGCCGATGGCGCTGATGCTATGGCTTGAATGGGTACTATGATGATGATGATGATGATGATGCTTTTTCTTTGTTGGTGCCACCGCCAGTGTAAGCAGCAGCAACTTAAACTAGCCGCAGAAGCGAGGCAAAGAAAAGGAAAGTTACTTGGCCCCAACATGCAAAGCTGCACGTGCAGTGCACTGGCATTCGTGAGCAAAGCTGGCTTCACCCGCTGTATTGTCCCATAGTTTGCCCCCCCCCCCCCCCACCACCACCACACCACACCCGCTCACACAGACTTGTAGTTGCTCTTGAACGCGCATGCATGCAGCGGTTCAGCTGTACACCCAACAAAAAAACACACTCAACATGCATTCACACCCCAAACACTAGGCGGCTTCCACACTGTGGAAGAAGTATGATACTTCTAGCGTATCACGCATCACAACGGACCACAAGTCGACCCTTGCAAGTCTGCCCTTGCTTGAAGCCAAGCAAGTATGCATGACGGTGCATCCCTCCACGACCCCATCTGAGCCGCTGCTGCTGCTGCTGCTGCCGTCACCGCAGCGCCCTCGCTCTCCGTGCCACCACGCGGCGCCCCCCTCACATCGACTGCCTGTACATCTCCTCCATGTCCGCCACCTCCCGCCGCACGCCGCTCAGCTTGATCTGCTTGCGCGCCTTGTCCATGCTCGCCACGTAAACGGCTGCAGCGTGCCGATCTGCGCCGCCGTCTCGGGCAGCGCGTGGTTGGACTCCAGCAGCGCCACGTACCCCGCCACGCCCACCGCGTAGCCCTTGCTGATGACGTTCAGCACGCGGCCCAGCACCACCTTGCCGGTCCTCATGCGGCCCTCCA